AATATTTTTCTATACGCTTTAACGATGCAAGCAAGCGAAACCAAAATCGTCCGCAAGCTGCCGTACTAATTGCTGAGCAATACTAATTTGCCGAAACTGCCTCCCTATCCTTTGCTACGCTGTTAAAGGGCTTTACGGCACAAGAGCCGTTGCTGTGAAGCAGCACTAAAGGAAAAACCCCGCGAATTATCCCCACCTCCAGTTTGCCCCTGAAATTTTTGGGCTTTTGGTGCGAGTTATGAACACAAAAATATGATAAGTTACACATGATAACACGAAAACAGATGCGGTGAAACTACTAGTACTACAAATAGCGATAACTGCCTTGACAACTGTATCACAACGCAGATACAAAAAGTCCAAGCCCTATCTTAAAACAATATCTGCTCTGACAAAAACAATTCTGCTAGCTGCAACCTCGGCTAAAGCAATATTATCAGTCCAGCTATCATAACATATCTATCTGGAATATCAGTACCGTATTTACTCGCGCATTCCTTGCACTCGAATAATTCTCGCACTCCCCACAATGCCCAACAAAAATACGATTTCTTTTTTTCCTCGAGTAATTATCGCACCCCCGAAAACTGCCGCAATAATGTCGTCTGCTCATTACAACCACTGATGATGATAGCACAGAGATTCAATCCAATCCAAGCCAAGCCAAAGTGGCAAGTGCGCGTTGCATTGTGTTTTATACGTTGTGTCGGTAATATTGTCGTGTTATGGAGTGATACTGAAGGTACACGGCTGCTTTTAAGTTGTAAGTGATAGATCATGCACTAAACAATGGCAACAGGGCCGCGGGAAGGCCCTTTGGAGTCTACAAGTTTTGTGTTCCCTACTGGTGACAGCAGCTGAAAGCCACCAAGACGCGTTCGGCCTGCCGTGTGCCTAAAACTGGGATTGATAGTAAACTTTATTTCTTCAGAAGGGAACTGCGCACGATTCTGTTAAATAGCCATCAGCCCAATACTGACGTCCTACGCTTACCTTTTGAGGGCATCTGTTTAACGACCAACGCTACCGCTACGCCCACAAGCTTTGCGTATGGTATTCCAATTCTCGACTATTAGCTTGCACTTTTTGTGTCTCAAATAAATCTTGCCTTGTGTTGAACCTGTGCTTTTATTGTTGAGGTAGGTTTTGATTAGTACTTCTTAAAGCTTGGTGTTAGTTGCTGGTGTGGGAATCCCAATTTGCGGCCACTTCGTTTTCTTTTTCGCTCCGTACATTTTCATAGAAAGTTTTCCCCGCGTAATTCTCGCACCCCTCAACTTTGCATTGGTTTTCCGCCAAAAAAAGTGCGAGGATTATGCGAGTAAATACGGTATCTTAGATGCTTTGTCAGGAAAAAAGCAGTGCAAGTAGACTGGGACGGAAGGGACACACACGATTCACAATGCTCGTGTGTGTACCTCTTCCATCCTTTTCTACTTGCAATGTTCTTTCGTTACAATGCTGACAAACCAACTAGACCATTGACAAGCATTAGTAGCTTAGATACAGCCCTACCTTGCCAACCATGTTGCGAAGCACACTTAAAAAACCAGACAACTAAAGATTTGAAAGGCCTATTTTTACATTTAGCGCAAACACGAGAATACAAAAGAATACACACCAAGGAAGACCTCTTGTTTTCTTGTACTAGCCATTGAAATATGCGGAATCAAAAATCCCACTAGTTAATTTTGGTGACAAGCCATTGAGGTGTGAGTGTCAGCGGCTGGCTATGTACTTCACTGTGGATGTAACCCACTCAAGTTTTGATGCCTATCCGAAGAGACATGACTACATCCATGCTCAAGCTACAATCAATGACCAGATATTCTACAGACACCGCACATTCAGATGTAGAGACAGCCTCACCAAGTCGAAGGTTTTTTCCTTTAGCTCTGAATTACATTGATTCCCACAGTGGTATCAAGATAAACTTCGTAATGTTGCTCTGTTAAGCATAAAAGTGTAGGTTTGGTTCTTCAGTCATAGTGGCCACGTTGTGATGGGCTGAATCAGGAAGACACCCTCCTACTTTTGATTCATAGCGTTAAATAGCCGAGTACTAATTGGTGAGCAGCCGTTCGTGAAAAAAGAATGCACACCACCGCAAAGCTGCTGATATCGCTTTAATTTAAGATAATTAGTGTATCAATAAGTTAACTAGACACTGCCTAAGAGGCTCTCTAACCAAGTCAATCTAGTATAAAAAACCCTTCTCTTATTGAACCTATCTGGGAAGAAATCAATTCAGCGGATGACTCGTTAAGGCAAGTTACACAATGCCTGGGCACACGAATGTGTTGCTGATTTCCTCCACGTTTGGAAGACGCTGCCCCGTTCACGTGTGCCCAAAGAGCTTGAAAGATTCAAGCAATGTGGTTATATGTGTACATGAGCAAGAGTTTGCTGGTTATATGTGTACATGAACAAGAGTTTGTCAGCATACGAAAGCCTGGCCTTGTGTGTGAGAGAAGCTTCTGTGATTTTTCGTATGAGTACTACTGCGAGGTCTGAGGTGTTTAGCCGCCTCAAATGACCATCTAATTGATGTAATTTCCCAACTGATGGCGCTTTTCTCTCCAGCCTTCACAAAACTGCATGCTGTTTTAAACGAAGTACTGGTGCTGCAACATCTCTTCGTAAGCGGCGCTGCTACATTGCCTGAAAAAGAAATCACAGCATATCCACGGAGTACATGATGATGAGTGGGCGAAGCTCAGGAGATACATCGGTAAACCATGAATCCCATTTGCAACTGTTCCAGAGTTCCCAGAGCTTGTCTCAGCGTACTTCCTGCGACAGAAAGCATGCCGAACGCGTGCGGCTTGTGCCTGTTGGCGAATCATGGCAAAGATTTCCTTGCAGCGTTCCGGCCAGTATTGCATCGTGTGGGTATGCTTGGCATGATGGCCAGGTCTCGGTTGCATGAAGGCCAGGTGTCGGTTCCTCGAGCTGCTGCTGCTGCGTGAACGAGCTGGTGATGGGAGGGAGCGCCGCAATGCCATTTAGCGAGTGCATCGAGTACTAGAGAAACTCGCTCCCGCCGCTCTCGATGTTGCTGCTGTGTGAACAAGCTGGTGATGGGGAGGGAGCGCCACAACGCCATCTAGTGAGCACTCCGGGTACTAGGGGTACTCTGTGTACTGGCTACAACGGCCAACGGTGGACAAGCCCACAGCCTAACAAGCTTCGCCCCAAAACCAGCGTACTGCAGCCCTTGCAACGATGCAGCCAAAATGGCACGCTCACCCGATGAAGAAGACGAAGCCATGCTCTGAGAACTGGGTGTGCGTGGATGCTCGTAGTGTTGCTGCGCCTGTCGCCAAAGTTGTGACGGCTGGATGTTCAGAGAAGACTGCTCGATCAGAGGGGTCAGGCCCATGAGAACCTGCGAGGTCGCCAGCAAAAGTTTTTGAACAAGCTGTCCTCCTTTAAGAAAAAGAAAGACTAAGTCTTTCAGCAATGCAATTAAACTTGGTTTGCTAAAAATAATGCATTGACCTGCTAGACACATCTTTTTAAGATCTTCAATATAGTTTCCTTGGACATCAATTCACCTGTTACTATGCAAATTCTAAACTGTAAAGGTTCCCACAAAGTCAGCTGCTGTCACCTCTTTCAGAGACACTGTGGTAGCCCATTGGATGATGGAAACACCATAGAAGTGGTGTACTTCGTGGATTCTCTTTAAACTTAGGAACAAGAAGAAGTCTGCAGAGCTCACATCAGGATTGTATCAGGGTTTTATCAACGCTGATGCAAGCCTGGCAGACTTTTTCCCATTTTGAATGCTCAAGGGAAGCCAGAAATGTCATTTCGACAGTGCTCTCACAATCCAGTGGGCTGTCACAGAGTCGTTGAAAGAGGTCACAGCCGCCGACTTTCATGAAGCCTTTGCAGTGAGAAAATTGCATCGAAAGTGGTGTGCAGTCAACTTTCAAGGAGCCTTTGCAGTATAAAAAACCCTTCTCTTATTGAACCTATCTGGGAAGAAATCAATTCAGCGGATGACTCGTTAAGGCAAGTTACACAATGCCTGGGCACACGAATGTGTTGCTGATTTCCTCCACGTTTGGAAGACGCTGCCCCGTTCACGTGTGCCCAAAGAGCTTGAAAGATTCAAGCAATGTGGTTATATGTGTACATGAGCAAGAGTTTGCTGGTTATATGTGTACATGAACAAGAGTTTGTCAGCATACGAAAGCTGGCCTTGTGTGTGAGAGAAGCTTCTGTGATTTTTCGTATGAGTACTACTGCGAGGTCTGAGGTGTTTAGCCGCCTCAAATGACCATCTAATTGATGTAATTTCCCAACTGATGGCGCTTTTCTCTCCAGCCTTCACTAAACTGCATGCTGTTTCAAACGAAGTACTGGTGCTGCAACATCTCTTCGTAAGCGGCGCTGCTACATTGCCTGAAAAAGAAATCACAGCATATCCACGGAGTACATGATGATGAGTGGGCGAAGCTCAGGAGATACATCGGTAAACCATGAATCCCATTTGCAACTGTTCCAGAGTTCCCCAGAGCTTGTCTCAGCGTACTTCCGCGACAGAAAGCATGCCGAACGCGTGCGGCTTGTCCTGTTGGCGAATCATGGCAAAGATTTCCTTGCAGCGTTCCGGCCAGTATTGCATCGTGTGGGTATGCTTGGCATGATGGCCAGGTCTCGGTTGCATGAAGGCCAGGTGTCGGTTCCTCGAGCTGCTGCTGCTGCGTGAACGAGCTGGTGATGGGAGGGAGCGCCGCAATGCCATTTAGCGAGTGCATCGAGTACTAGAGAAACTCGCTCCCGCCGCTCTCGTGTTGCTGCTGTGTGAACAAACTGGTGATGGGGAGGGAGCGCCACAACGCCATCTAGTGAGCACTCCGGGTACTAGGGGTACTCTGTGTACTGGCTACAACGGCCAACGGTGGACAAGCCCACAGCCTAACAAGCTTCGCCCCAAAACCAGCGTACTGCAGCCCTTGCAACGATGCAGCCAAAAATGGCACGCTCACCCGATGAAGAAGACGAAGCCATGCTCTGAGAACTGGGTGTGCGTGGATGCTCGTAGTGTTGCTGCGCCTGTCGCCAAAGTTGTGACGGCTGGATGTTCAGAGAAGACTGCTCGATCAGAGGGGTCAGGCCCATGAGAACCTGCGAGGTCGCCAGCAAAAGTTTTTGAACAAGCTGTCCTCCTTTAAGAAAAAGAAAGACTAAGTCTTTCAGCAATGCAATTAAACTTGGTTTGCTAAAAATAATGCATTGACCTGCTAGACACATCTTTTTAAGATCTTCAATATAGTTTCCTTGGACATCAATTCACCTGTTACTATGCAAATTCTAAACTGTAAAGGTTCCCACAAAGTCAGCTGCTGTCACCTCTTTCAGAGACACTGTGGTAGCCCATTGGATGATGGAAACACCATAGAAGTGGTGTACTTCGTGGATTCTCTTTAAACTTAGGAACAAGAAGAAGTCTGCAGAGCTCACATCAGGATTGTATCAGGGTTTTATCAACGCTGATGCAAGCCTGGCAGACTTTTTCCCATTTTGAATGCTCAAGGGAAGCCAGAAATGTCATTTCGACAGTGCTCTCACAATCCAGTGGGCTGTCACAGAGTCGTTGAAAGAGGTCACAGCCGCCGACTTTCATGAAGCCTTTGCAGTGAGAAAATTGCATCGAAAGTGGTGTGCAGTCAACTTTCAAGGAGCCTTTGCAGCAGAAAAATCGTTTTAGAATTGGTACATCTATGCCCGAGAAAACTATATTGAAGAATTTTAACAATATGTATTGATTGGATCAACAAGTTATTTTCACCTGCCCCAATGTCGTTACTTCACAGACTGAGTCTAAAAGAGAAGCAGTTTTAGCACAATGTGCGAAGCTGTGAAAAGGACGTTCTGGTAATCATTCCATAGAACAAGACCCACGCTGCCCAGACTATTGATTTCAACAGACTCTCACAACATGGCATGAGGCATTTGCATTACCAAGGATACATTTTCATGCCCAGTTTATTCAATACAGTTACTAACATGTTAAAGCAAGAGGTCCCATAGTTTCAGAGGAAGTGACAGGGGATGTCCTATGGCTACATGCATGGTATAATCACGAATATACAGCAAAATTATATGAATGTGTCAGCAATATTAAACAAGCTTTAACCATAGCAATAAAATTATAAAATCAATAAATAGCATGATGTACTCATGATTAAAAAATGACACAGAAATATTTAAAAGCAAGTGATAGAACAGAACTAACAAGAAGCAAGATTAATTTACAGCATAACAGGACAAATGCAACTTGTTTCATTATCAGTGTTATGAGTTACAAAAAAGTGAATGTTCAATATGAAAATAGCACAGAAATATTGAGGACTATTAACAATTAGTTGCGCCATTCAGATGAGCTGAGTAACTCCCGAACGAAATATTTTTTCCGTTTGTGCGACTGTTTGCTCGTCGTAACATTCACACCCATTTCTTTTTTTAATTGACGAAACTCTCCCATGATCTTCTTTCATGTAAAATGTTGAGATTTAGTAACCATATTTTAGTTCACTAAGACATTTCAATTTGATGCTAACACTGGTCCCAAAACACCAGGCCTGGTGTCATCAATGTTATCATGCAACCATTACACTAAGCAATGTCGGCTGACACCGTCCAGCAATAAGGCTAGGTGGGATGATGTTGCTCACTAATTAAGTAAAATAACAGTTGGTGCCTTTCCGTCTGTGCTCCGCAACAACTACGGGTATGAAAGGAGCTGTGTAGCATGACACATCCACCTTCCAGACAACAAAAATAAAACTACGCTCAAGCCTGGATATAATGAATCCAGACATAACGAATCATTGGTTATAACAAAATTAATGAAGAATAGTCTTGCAATAGATATAGTGTTAGGAATAAAACTTTAGAACGAACTTACGTATCTAACAAACTTATTTTCGTGTAAGATGCAGTTTTGTTTTACTGAGGTTTGAGTGTAGTTAAAAGTGTCCTTATAAATTATGAGCGTCACTCTAGACCATACACCAGACGGCTCTTTCATTCGTCACAACGAAAACCTGCAACAAATAGAAGCAGTTCCCTCACAGTTGCGAGCATTGTCTGCAAGAATCGTCTTAAGCAGGTCACTGTTACTAGTAGTAATCTCAGTACGCCTGATAAATTTCAAAAGTCAATCTATGTCATTGCATTTGGCTAACTTTTTTTTTTCTGGCTTTATAGGTGCATATAGGTGCCTTTAGAGGTGCATATAGGTGCCTCTGGCATGACACATGCACCAGTGGCATAGCCAAAAAATTTTTTCTGGAAGGGGGTTGTACTAAACTTTATGCTTGCACATGTGTATCTGTGCATGCATATATATATACCCGTGCCAAACTGAAAACTTTCAAAAGGACAGAGGAGTTGAACTCACTCCATGATGACTACGCCAGTTACACAGTGCTTTGCTGCAACTTGCATCGCAATCATTAGCAGATAACACTTAGCGCGTTCAATGTTTAGGCTCATTCTGCATGGCTAGCATGATCAACCTCCTAAGGGTTGTTCAGAGGCCTAGACGGTAAGACTGATAAAATAAAATAAGTGTCGTGAGCGTTGAAATGCTGTGGGCACAAGCACAACAAATCTCACAAACTGCAGCGCATGGGATTTGACGAAAAAGGCAACAAAGCAGTATACCTGTCTGGCGGTTATTGAGTTCAGCTAAGAACTGCATATTGCCTAAGAGATATAAGCACCGACACAAGCAGTGACGACAATAAACTATTTTTTTGGGCAACGGTGAAGCTGAGAGCAAGAAAATAACCATGAAACTGCATGACAAAGATTGCACTCGCCAAGTAATGATGAAAAGAGCTAATAAATGGACAGGTCCTATAGAACGTGTTTACTACTGCAAACTGTTCTGGTAATTATGATAATAACAATGCAGAGACATGCTTGGAAAAACATGATATATCTCCCATTGCTTGAACTGCTGTTAAAACACAACCTAATTTAATGAAACTGTTTGTGCTACTATTAGCATTACGCACTAATATTTCCACGTGCATTGTCTTCTTGAGCATTTCTATGATGGCTCAGGTCTGTAATCTTTATAGTACCTAGTGTTTCTGCCATGCATGTGCTATTTGTTAGAATTCTGTAATGTGTATGCCCCTTTCCATTGCTGTCTGAATTATATTTCTGTAATAGACATCCCTATTTTAATTGGCTAAGGATTCATACACATGACTTATCATTTTACTGTAATATAATATTCTTCAACAATAAAGTAATCATACAATACATTCTCATAGTAAGTACTGCTCATGCCACTGTATTGCTTCATAATAGTGATGGCAACAAAAAAAATCTGAACGTCCCGAAGAAAACCATTTTTTTTCCCACCAAGCCTATAAAATACAATTGCAAAAAAAAAAAAAGAAAACAAAGAAAGTAAGCTTCCACGCAGTACCTTTATCTCCTAAGAAACGGCGCATACCACCACTATAAATACAATTGGTGAAGGACAGAACACTTGCAGCTGTGCAACCTCGGCACATTTTGCCGCGCACATTTACTTCAGAGTTTTGATGCAATCGATCATACACAGCTATTGATTCAAAATCATGAACAGTGAAGTATAACAATGGTGCGGCTTATATTCAAACACGCACGTGCGACAACGCCTTACAATAGCATCAGTACAGCAGCATTCACGGTAGAAGTCTGGCCTTTGTGATGTAATCTTCTCTAATCTTATTCTCAAAAGGTGACTTAACCTTACCTGACCATTTAAATGAACCCCACAGACAATCAAGCCAAGAAAGGCAGAGGGTTTATTAGACGTTGTCTCGAACTGTAGCATAGCTAGTAATTAGGACGTCGCATTGAAATGCAATAAGTGATGCCACAGTGACGTTGCAATGACTTCATGATGATAAAAATTTGGCACTTAACAAACTGTCATGCTCCAATGACATCGTGAGATGGCATCCGTCGTTATATAATGATTTTGTGCAATAGTCATTTACCATTCCTTTGTGTGTGATGAGGCATTCGTATCATTAACTCCAGCCAATCATAATAAAAAAATTTATAAGCCCCTCTATGCATTGAACATACGGAAGATGCCGTAAAGGAAAGAAATCATTTTTGAGGGAAAAAAAAAAGCTAGCACAAGGATACTTGACATACTATTTTTCATCTCTTGTGCTGGTAACATTAAATTAACATATCTCCAGGAATTTAACCTACAAATATGTCGCCCGGATCTACATTTTCACCTGAACAATGACGAGAAATGCGTTGAAATTACCCGATGTCACAGCCCTAATACCCTACGTTGTCTGAAAAATTCCGAACATACCCTGAAAGTTGGGTAATTACACTATGGCTGGCAACCTTGATTCGGATCTTGACAACAGGAAGGATGATCTTTTGTCAACATTAATTAGGTTCAATTGACACAGTAATTATTACACTACATTATTGACAACAATTAATTTCTCATGTCTTTGTTGGCTTGAATATCGATTGAATTTGTTCGGTTGTGTCTAATGAAAAGAGCCCCTCAAAAAATTCCCCTTCTTTCATTCTTACCTGATGAATGTCACGCCGCAAGTTTCTTGAACCTCGCTCAGCACTGTACGAGCGAGCTACAGAGGACCAACCGAGCACACGATGCAACGCACCATTGCCGGTCCGGCCTTCGCCACTGGGCCCCCCTTCTGCCATGGCTTCCTCTCTGCGATGCATGTCAACAATGAATGAGATTCAGAAAATAATCTAAATTGCAACGACGCCTTCAATACTAATGCCCTAGGTGAATGGTCCCTTGCCAGAGAAAAGATTCCTAAGCAGTGCAGATACATGACAAAGTTTGATATCCTGCTGTTTGAGAACATCCTAAGTAAATACACTGTCAAGAATACCTTAGCTTCTCCAGACATGCCTGGTTGCTTCTTTAAGATTGTACGTGAAGTTATCAACACCATCCCTGTGAAGTCTGGCACTTGCCAATACAATGTTCAAGGTAAACATCATATTGCAATAGGAGGTACCTAAGTTAATGTTAACGTCGGTTAGCCTAACACTGCACACAGCACGCAAGGATGCAGGACAGCCTAGACACAGCCCCACAACAATATTGTCGTCATTATTCCTTCTGTGTCACTTGGGCGCCTGTGCCACCTTTCTACACCAGTGACATTACCCCGAGCGGCAAACCAGTGTCTCGGTGGCTTCTGTTATTAGACGGATATATCACTGTGATAGGGCTTCAGGCGAGAAACATGCACAATGTCAGTTCTGAATGTAACAGTCGGGTTCGTAGTACTGGAAATTTCATAGGTGACAGGTGTCATCTGGCGCAGAACTCGATAAGGCCAAAAGTATCGCGATAAAAGTTTCTTGCATAGGCTGACACGATGTGATAGGAGCCACAGTAGCACGAGAGAGCCCGGAGGAAAATCGACATCTCTATGTCGGCAGTCGTAGAACGACTTTTCTGCTCTCTCGCACTATGAGGACATGGCGCGAGCTACTGCAGGTGCGACCAGAGCACAGGAGATGGGATGATGTTGTTGTGAGGCTATGTCTGGGCTGTCCTGTTGTCCTGCATCCTTGTGTGCTGTCTGCTGTGTTAGCCTAACCGGTGTTAACTTATTATATACTCCCCATTACAATATCACTCTGACCCAAATGCTTCATTTTGTGACCCCATGTGCCACACATTCAAAAGCTGTGCTGCTAATTGCTTTTCCGTGTGTACATGCGTGAACCTTGATATCAAAATTGCTGAGACTGCTATTTTCACAGATGCAAGGCTTCCTTTTACGACTGAAGAGGTTCTGTTGCGTACAATGATAGGAATGCCACAATGTCTTGCAAACAGTAGTTATGCAGCTGTTTAAACAGCCGCCACTTGTTTTTATGTCTGAATGAATACATAAACGTGAGGTGACTGACATCTTGCTCCTGTATGTAGATTGTACGCATCAGGCCGTCGTGTGTGAACAGCGTTCTAGACGTTTGTAGAAGGCAGGTTAACTGAAGTGCGCCATTCAATGGTTACTGGAACCTGAAGGGTCTCCTATTGTTTGCTTCTGAAGATAAGGAATAGGATGACCAGCAAGTATAAGTAAGATGCTAAAAGCCGAATGATCCACCTCCAACATCATCTGATCTGCCACAAAACGGAAGTATGTGATCTTTCGAAATCTGGTAACTGAATTCTGATAGACGATGGCTAGTGCGATTTGTACCATATGAAACGGAGTCTGCACACTCGAGCTGCGCATTCCTTCTTCAAAAGGGGGTTGATTTCAGAGTTACACGCAGCGAGATAAACGATCGATCCATGAAAAAAATGAAATGTTCTTTTCAAAACCGCTCATTCTATTCGCAACACGATACGGTGAATCGCGCGACATACTTTCTCAAGTATGCATGGACATATTTTTCCTTGGTTTCGTATGTGTGTCTATTCTGGTGCGGGCGGAAGCACGCATGCTCCCAATAGCTGGGATCAAACAGGAAGAGACAGGCGCGCGCGGCAACCTCATATTGAACTAAGGTGACAGCAAATCGTGTAGTGAACATGAAATAGTCCATGATTACGTGGAATTGGGCGACTTCATTTAGACTTGGACACACATACAACACCGAAAGCGACCGCCCTAGAAACCCAGGCGTGGGCGCATATGCTTACCTTTTTAGCCTTGCCATGTAATTGCATTAGAGATATGGGTTGTTTTTAGGTAACCAGCATCGCGCGATAGTGCGGGACGCATATGTTTACGAGCGATTAATGTGTCAGGCCATGGTAAAACGCAAGTAAGCCGAAGTCCGATAAAAGAGACAGTACAAAAGAAACAGAAAACAATGGCGTGTCGTCGTGTCAATACCAAGCGCCCGATGGCATGAGCCAGTCGCGGAATAACAAAACAAGCTAACCTGTTGTCAGGAGAAGATCGACCAGCACTACTGGTGCTTGGCTGGGGCGTGCCGTGGACGGAAACCGGCGGATTTTGCGACGGTTCCAGCTTGATTCACGTAGGTGTTACGGAGGTGACGAGACGATATCGAACAGCAGTGGTCTACACTAAACATGCATGCCGCGAGGAGCGTTGTGTAGCGTCACCCGACGCTGATAGCGCTATGCGCGTCCACATTGGACACACTGCTATTCGGAAAGCTTCGTGCACGGGTGTTACCGCTGCGCTTACGGTGCTGGAATTTGGCCTGATCAGAGAACTGCCGAATGGACGCTGTCGGTCTTCGTGACCCGACTCGGTGATGACATCGACTGATTGCGGTGTAGGCAAATTCGCAGCAGTGATCGGCTCGGACGCTAGCGCGAGCAGCTGCACCGTCGTCGTACCGCAGCGGCTCGCAGTGCTAACAGAGGGCGCCACCAATGTATGCAGCAAGGCGATCGTTGTCATTTGCTAGTTTCGGTTTCGCATTTGCTTTAGGAACAACCACAGAGTTTCTCACAAAGGAACTCTATGGGAACAACAACAACAACAACAACAACAACAACAACAACAACAACAACAACAACACAACAACAACAACAACAACAACAACAACAACAACAACAACAACAACAACAACAACAACAACAACAATAATAATAATAATAATAATATAATAATAATAATAAAGCTGAACGTGCGTAATGTTCCTGCTGCAGTGCATTGACGAAAGAAGGTTGTGTTTTAAAACTGCTTTTTGGCGCTCGGTGGAGTCCAGCAATAACAAAATATGCACAACAGCATCCTTCATTGTAGTTAAAGTGGCTTGTAGCTTTTCCCTAGTCCAAGGTGCTACATTCAAAAACTATGAATACTTGGCATACTTGAGCAGAATTGAAATAATGCTTGTGACAATTCGTTGCGTATACGCATTTTGGTGTTCCCGTGCGAAGATTTTTTCTTATAAAACTGCAGTTGTAATAGAACGTCTTTTCTTTAAAATGATTTTCTTCCGTCTACCTTACGCGCTCATACATATATTTTTCTGGAGTGGAAATTACGTCTTGAAAGTGAAGCCAGACCACCGCCATCTTACTCCAGACACGACAATGCGTTAGCAAAGTGCGTTGGGAGTAAATTGTGAAAGCTTTAGTGCACTGCACTTACGCCACGATGGGAGAGCCATAAGCTGTCCCGATACGGGCCGTGTGAAGTGTGTAGAAAAATTTATTATCACAGACGTGAATACCATCTGAACAGAACATTTTCTTCATAGACACACAATAACGATGATGACAAAACAGACTTCATTTGCATGAACATGGAATGACGTGGAAAGAACATGTACATTTGATGGTTCACTCAAAGACAGCCACACAAAAATGTATCAGAAAAGGACAGATAAACATATATGTGCGCTTTTTCATCCAGTGGCCGTGGTCTGCCAACACCAGGCCGGCCGAAGGACAAGTTTCACTCGTCAGTTACAGAGCGACACAAAAGGGCTAGGCGAGGGCCGAAGGAATTCCTCTTCACCGAAAAAGAAGAGCTACTCCGACAAAACAGACAGCAGCTCGCTCGCTGGATTCCGTGCCAACCGGTGGTGCCCCCGCGATCTCCGACGACAGCGCAGCTCTGGCCGAACGGCTGGCTCTCCGCCATCTCCTGACGCTGTGAGGCTCTTGCTGAGTGGTGCCCCGTCCTCGGACTCTTTCGACTGTGTCCATATTTCTCTATCTTGTCTTTACATCTTTATGTGGGTGTCCTCATCTCTATCACTATCTCTTTTAATCCTCCCCATCCCTTTTAATCCCTCCTTACCACCATCCCTCGTGAGCCACTGTTGAGGTGTCGCACTACTATGCAGGCAGTTACGGGATCACTTTTATATTCTTTTCTCTCTTTCAAGAACCACTTACACAGCTCCGAGTACAATGACTCTAGGATCAGGAAGAGCGCGTGGCGGCGGCGGCCCGCTGCAGCCGCCTCGCAGCAGTTGCGCCAGAGGCAGAAAGGACCGGCCACAATGAGAAGACAAGCGAAGCGGCCTCGAGAACAATGCTCAGAAGAAATGAAGCGATTTACTATATGAGGCAGCGAGATCCATCATGTACGGCTCTCCAAAAAACGCGAGCAATGACACAATTCCTCAAGAAATGCTGATTTGTTTCTCGAAGGGAGCAGTTCGGGCATGTTGCTGACTGAACCATTCTTCACCTTTAGAGGTGGTTGAGATTGGGAAACACACCTTGTCTAAGGCACCACATCAAGTCTCGGAGGTGTCCAGGCAGAAAAGGGGCCGTTAACGTGCTCCAACACACCCGACTAGAGCGAGCACGGCGGGCTAGGGGAACCAACGGAAGCAACAATGCAGCAGTTGTAACTATAAGGTTGTTCAACACATCTATAGATGTGTTGAACAACCATATAGTTACAACTGCTGTGACCTGTCCAGGCATATATGCCTGGACAGGTTGACTGGAGAAGGCGAAAAAACGCAACAATTGTCGTATAAAACGCAGGAAGTGTTATTGATTGTGGCCCCCTGTTAAGGTGCACATTAGGCATCAAATGCCGAAGGTGGGTACCCAGAAAGTAGTTTGCAAGCATTCGTGCGGGAGATTTCTCCCCTTGCACAGGCGCAAAAGGAAGCGTGGTGCCAGCAGCCGACAGCGTATGGACACTGAAAGGAAAACAAAGCCTCCCTGAGAACGCTGCTGTCCCAGTGCCGCATGAAAGACCAACTCAGTGTTGCCTAACCCCCCCCCCCCAAAAAAAAGGGGGGGGGGACACAAAACCGATCGCAGTGATCGCACGATACGTAAAGACAGTTGCACGACGTGAGAAAGGTACCAAATGCGACCATAAAATACAGTCTGCGCAAGGTACCTCTGCTCAAGAAGCGGAAAGTCAAAATCCCGTGGGTCTCGAATTTTTAGTCTTACGTCTTCAAGAGCGTTTAACAAAACGAATTCGCAAATGCCGTGGTTGTATAAAGTATACCCAAAATACAAAGGGGCGCGGCCGGCTGAGTAGGAAAAACGGCGCTGAGCCTGGAGTTTGGAGAGCCAATGAAGAAATACCGGGATTCGGAGATGTTCAACGCTGCACCTGAAATGTCACAATATTGGTAAAATACAGGTAGGCTGCGTGAAAGGCTATCTTCATCTGAAAGGTACAAGGCGATGACGTCAGCGAAAGCTTTGAGTTTCACGACACTGCTACCAGGAAGCGCAAGGCCCCGGACGCGTGAATCCGCGTCAAGAGCACGCAAATATGGCTCAAGGCTGAAGACAAACAGCACAGGAGACAATGGACATCCCTGTCGGACCACACGCGTAATGGAAAAAGGCAGCACTTTTCCAGCCATCCAGAACCAGTGTAGATATTTCTAATTATTTCCGCAAACGAATGAGGAAAGCCAAAGGATGTGAGCACATTAAAGATATACCTGCGCTCTAGTCGGTCGAACGCCTTTTCTTGGCCCAAAGACACAAGGAGACCTCACGCAGACCACGACAGAGTATAGGCCATCATATTACGTGCGATAAAGGACAAGCTGAGTATTGTTCGTCCGGGCACTAATGAAGCCTGGTGATGACCCACCAGGGCGTTCAACAGACCCCTCAAACGTTGAACGATTATTGTCGCAAATATCTTATAGTCAACGTTGAGTAGTGTGATAGGTCTCCAATCTTCAGGATTAACAGAGGAAGCATCACCTTTTGGAAAAAGCACGATCTGTGTGTTTAGATTGAGTGTTTAATGATTTAGAGTATGCGGCACTCTATTACTATGTTACTCTATGCTCTACATGACTCTACCATAAAGTATATTTCTCTACAATTCTACTACGGGAGAGCAGGAAGCCGTCCCGACAATAAACAGACGAACGAGTTCATTAGAACAACATTGTTCAGCTCACACGCAGTACAAACTTAATATCAGTAATTACCACGGATAGATATTGTTCAACATCTGTTCCAGTGTTACTGGTTTCCATAGGAAGCCTTGAATTCTTTCAAAATGTCTGTAGAGAACAAGATAGCTGGGACAATCAATGTTCATTACTTTTGTCAGCGGCAACGATCTTTTATTCAATGATTAGTCTAGCATTCGCGTTATTAGATCAAAAGCACTTTATCGCAGATTCGGTAACAAGCGAAAGAGCGATGTTTTCAGGTAGACTCAAGGCAAATGCTGGCTTCACGTCTGCTGCCTAGAAATAGCGATAGCTTCCACTCAATAATTTTTTCTAACCCCCTTGATATTTTCACATTATGGCGTGAACCCTATGAAGACTAACTGTGCATTTAGATCAATTAAGTCCACGGACTCGCTCTCTGGATTTCGTGCCGACCGGTTGTGCCCCCGCGATCTCCGACGACAGCGCAGCTCTTTCCGACTGGGCTCGCCCTATACGCCATCTCCTGACGCCGACAAGAGGTCTCGCCGAGTGGTGCCCCGTCCTCGGACTCCTGCAACCGTGTCCAGCTTTCCTATCTTCTCCTTACTTCCGTCATTTCCTGTTGCTCGCTGTCCCTGCACCTCGCTCTCTCCTTCCTTTCTCTTTACCTTTTAATCCTATTACTTTAATCCCTCCTTACCCCCATCCCTCGTGAGCTACAGTTACGGTGTCGCACTCTGATGCAGACAGTTACGGGGCTCACTTTTCTCTTCTTTTCTCTTTAAGAATCGCATAAGAAAATTTAGTACACCAAATAAATCTCTCATTGATGTGTGAAATTCATTCCCGCATTATTTTAACTATATTTGTTGGGGTTTAACGTCCCAAAACCATCATATGATAATGACTCTGAAGGCTTCGGGAAACTTCTACCACCTGGGGTTCATCAACGTACACCCAAATCTAAGCACAAAGGCCTCAAGTATTTTCGCCTCCATCGAAAATGCGGCCGCCCCTGCTGGGATTCGATCCCACGACCTGCGTGTCAGCAACCGAGCGCCTTAGCGACTATAGAGAACACCACGGCATTATTCTACATGTCTGAAACAAATGAAGTGCGGACGTACATGAGTGTGAAGGGTGGAGGCTCTGGGTGGGAGGAGCCCAGGAAGCCCCGTTGGCTAGTTTGGGGCAAAGGGACGAGCACCCACTTCCGCTCGCAACCATGCATAGTTGAGGGGGGAAAGTGGGAAATATACTGGTGCAAACAGCGTCGGTAGCTCGGCATGCACTGCAGTAGGTTTCAGAACGAAAAATCGAATGAAATTAGAGGTAGTTGACAATGCGCTAAAGAACATGAATTATCGTCATCCTGAACCAGTACGCGTTCGCTTCGGCCTTTTCTAGTTCACTGTACTCCTCTTCGACTTCTGTTTCGCTTGCGTGGCTCTACTTTCCTTTTTTTCCCTTTACATACATACATACATACATACATACATACATACATA